GGATGACCAGGCGGGCGTAAAAAACAAACCGCAGTCCAATCGCCACGTTTAACATTTCCCATTTGCGAAAAGAGTGCGCGCGAAGGCGGCTTTTCTTGCCAGATGCGAGAAAAAACGAAACGAGAAGCAAAGGGAAAAGAGATTGCGGTCTGGCGCAGTAAAAAATCCGTGTGCATTTTTCGCCCTCGCCCTTACGTGTGGTGTAATATTTTTCAAAGGGGTGAGAGCGAAAGAGGAAGAAAAAGTATAGAGGGGCGCTGGAAAAACCAGAGAAAATGAAATGCTTTTTCTTTTTTCGCCTTCCGACGTATTTATCATCCACGAAAAAAGGAAAAATATAAAACGTCTCACGGACGATAAGCGTAATTTATATTTACCACTATTTTTTAGCATGTAAAGCACGAAAGGTGCGATAATTTTTAGTTTCTTTTGAAAAAGAGAAAAATCACACGATATTTTAAATTTCTATTTTCCTATAAAAATGCATCCATTTCCCAACGTTATATAAAATTAGATTTTCTCTCTCTCCTTTATTATTTCTTTTCGCACTTTTCTGCTGAGAAACTCATCAACAGTAGAATAAAATTAAGTTTCAAATCTAATCAAAAACAATGCGAGAATAAATGAGAGGAGACGCGCGCGCGACGAGAAAAGTTTTCGCGTCGCCTGCTGCTCTTTCAAAGGTGTTAAAAAAGCAAAGTTAGTTTGTTTTTATATAAATTTTTAAATAAAGTTAAGGCAGAAAAAGAGCGCTGAGCGAAACAAGTGTGCTGCTGATTAGGTTTCTCGCTAAGGAGAGAGAAAAGAAGGCAGGCTGATGATGTGATGGATATACAGCCTCTTATTCCTTAATGAATGCCGACGAGCTTTTTAGAAATAAAAGGGCAGAAGAAAAAGGAGGAAAGAAAGAATTAAGTGTGAATGAATATTGCCTCTAGAGGGTTGCGCTCCCAACAAAATTAGGCCGATTTATATTTGCAAGAGAAAATCGAGCCAGATTCAAATCTTCCCCTTTTTCTGTGTTTACTTTCCTGCAAAAAATTAAACCTTTCATTTATTTTTTTGTCACAGGCAAACTCAAAATCCGGACAACTTCAAGTCCCAACGGCCGTGTCATTTTCTACTCTTTTGTTTTTTACACGCCAGCTGTCACATCAGTGACTTATGACTGTTGCACTCTAGCTTGCATCTAGCCGAGATTCTCTCCTCCTTCTATAAGTGCAGTGTCATCTCATTTGAATACCAAACCTGATCTGCCCGTGCAAAAAATCTAAATGTGCAGCCGAGAGATGCGACCGCTCACTTTCCCATGGCCAATGCATGTGAAGATTAAAAGAAAAAATTAATTAAAATCATCAGGCCGAGTAAATTTTTTGCTTTCGAAAATTTCCATAATGCGTTTTTTTCCACACTTTTATATGGTGGCTGATAATATAAAAGCAAGCGCGGTTATTTTGATGAGTCAGTACTTTCGATTCTAATGCGAATTTAATTATCTTTTATCATGGATTCTACTGTGATTTATGAAGTTAGGAATTTGCATTTAGAAAAGTGTTTTGAGCGGAAGGGTTAATAATTGAGTTATAAAAAATCCAAACTGTAAAAATTTTATCAGATAATATTTAAAATAAGCATATTTTGTTCGATTACAGAATTCATGTTTTTGAAACCGAAAAATTCAGTTTGCAGTAGAATCAGAGGAGGAAGGGGAACGTTTTGTAACTCGTCATTTTATTACATAAAGGAGGGATGATGTAAATAATTAACCGGCTAATTAACAAGTCTAAGCTGAATTTGCAAATTAAATTCATGACGCGCGAGATTAAAGGTGTAATCTGGTGGCGCGCATTATGTTTCAGCATTTACATTCTTTTAACCCTTCTTTCTTTTTCTTTCTGTTCACGTCCGCTGAATGCATAATATAAAAAGAAATGAAAGCAAAACGCGAAAGGGCAGGGAGAGGGCGAGCGAGCGGCTGCCCCAGTGTTTCTTTATTTCTTTTTCTTCTGTCAAACGCGCGCGACAAGCGGGCCTTTTAAGTAGTTGGGAATAACACACGCAGCATTCGTCAGCACGTTTGCATTATGAAAGAGCGAAGAGCGCGCGAAAGAAATAAAGCAAGAAAGAAGAAGCGCTCGCTCGGGGGATGCTTTTTAAAATCTCCGGTTACATCTTGCACTTTTTATTCAAATGAGCAGGAGGAGAGAAGCTGCCAGCCTTTTGTTTATCTGAATTATTCAGCAGCTGTAAACAAAAGCTGATTTATTTTTATCCAATCTCGCCCAAACAGCAGCAGACTTGCTCCAAGCAATTTCGCAGCTTGTCAAGTTGGCAAAAGGAAAAATATAAAGAAAGGATCAAAATTATTCTTATTCTTTTATATTTGAATCTTTGGAGTATCTTTAAAATTTCACTCATAACAACACTAATAGCTAGAAATTCAAAATAAATTTAAAATAAAATAATAATAATAACAATTATTGGCAACAATTATTTTTATTTAGATTATGGTTTATTTGAAAAAATATTAAAAATTTAATATATTAAATTAAATTAAATTTTTTATTTTTTATGCATCATCAGAAGTCGAAGTATTTTTGTTTATATATAATTTAATAATTTTATAATTTATAATATTTCCTTGACATCATTGTAAGAATTGAAATCTTTGACCAAGAAAATGAAATCGTAGTGATTCCAAAGGTTATCACTTTTTTATTTCAAAATTTTTACTATTGACACGTGCGTTATTTTTCTGTGGCAATTTATATCAAAGACCTGCGCTGGCAATTTGTCAATTTAAGCTTCTCCGCATTCACCTCTCTTTTGCTCTAATATAGAGCGTCTTTTCCGCGACAAAACTGCTTCCGTCAAAATGTCAGAAAAGGTCGGCGTGGCGCGCGGCGGTTGCAAAACAAATGACGCACTCTTCTCTTCTCTCCGCGTGTTTGCAGGACACGAGCACTTAAGTTTGTATTTGTTATTGTTGATGATGTTGATGACAGGCGCCGAATAAATTATAAGAAAAGTGATGATGATGGCTTTTTTCCCCACACAATACCACCGACTACGAGGCGCACGAGCCAAATTAAGAAAAAGTGCCTCAAAAATTAAGCACGGGGGTGGAATGCTTGACGATGCGGCGGTGGAGTGACATCCATAAATTGTGTACTTTGCCAAGGAGAGAGACTAAAAAACGGCCGCTCTCGCTCGCTTGGTTAACTTGGTGTGTCTCTCTCTTTTTCGCCGTACTTTTTCCGCCATCGATTTTCATTATGACGTCGCTGTAAACTCCTTGATGATGATGATAGCAATCAATGCTCACACCCGACCGTGGGATGGGTTCATTAGTTCCTGTCAACTCTCTCCAGATCGAACCGGCATTTTATTATAATATCTTCAAAAAAAAAACTGCTGCTCTCTTTCTCGCCAGAGAAAAATATTGCATACCCTTTTTTTCTTGATTGCCGTCGGCGGAGATTTATTTCACACCAAATTAACCGCCCATCCTTTTATTTTTTGCCAGCATCCCTTATCGTCGGGGGTAGAAAAGAAAAGAAGCAGAGATTCCCACGCGGCAATTAATTTGCATAACGCAGGCAGGTAAGTCGACACCTGCGTTTGCTTTGCAGGAAGCGCGGACTCGGGCGCGGTAATTAAATTTAATTGACGGTTATCTCCGATATCAACCGCTTTTTAAATATTCTTCTCACCCCGGTTTGTACGTTTTGTAAATTAACGAGGAGGTGAGAAGAAGTAAGAAAAAAAATACCACCCGACGAGAAAAGCTTCTGTCTAAAAATTTATCAGGCAGGTGATGAGTGCTTTTATTGCCTCTCGATGCGATTATTAAATTAAAAAGACACTCACGGTCGGTTTTTATAGTTTTTGTTGTTAGGCCTGTTGTTAGGTCTGACACTTTTCTACCGTAAATCAGAGAAGAAAAAGTACACTTTTTTTACTTCCAAGAGAGGAAAGATTGCTCCTCCCCCTTTGCTGAAAACAGCCGCGATAATAAAATGCAGCATCTAAACCAATAAATCGCATTATGGAAAACCAGCATTGCGTGAATTTTGAATTGTGCATGCAGAGCGATATGAGTTATGATGCACTCTTTCAATCAAAATTATTCACGGATCATTTGATATTAAAATTGTATTGATCCCTCATCGGCTGTACATCATTTTACAAGAGGCCTCAATGAAAAAAAATACTCCTGTTTATGAGTGTGTATGCAAGTGCATTCTATTTAAATCAAGCTTTAATTACATTTCGTTTTGATAATTCATATAAAATATCAATTAATTTTCTTTCATGAAAATCGAACAACAACAGCTGTAAATTAGAATTTTTAATTTCCTGCATTATGAAATAGAGTGCTGTACAGCAAAAAATAAATTATATTTTACTACACAATACACTTAAGCACTAGTATTTTTAAGATATTTAAAAAAGAAACAAAGATTGCTTTAAAATTAACTGAAAAATATATTTAATATTAAATTATAAAATGTTTAAATTGAATAAAATCAACAAATAAAACTTTAAAAAATTTAAAAAAATATTTATAATTTAATAAATTAATTAAAAACTGTTATAACAAATTTTTTTTATATATATTTAGTTTCCAAAGAGCAAGTTCTAATTTCCTCCTATAATTTTAAAGATAAGCAATGATATTATCTGCCCACATACGTCTATCTAAAACATTAAGATAATTACATAAAGACAGAACAGATTTATCCAAGAAATTAGATGTTTCGTACTTAAACAAAATTTTTAAATCAAACTCTTTCAACCGAAAATAAATTAATGTTTAAATCATCTATTGTCTTTTTTATTTTAAGTAAATAAACATGTAAAAATTTTTAATTTTATTTTGTCTAAATTACATATTTTGACTCCTAACTTTGATATTTTGAAGGTGGTGATGGTGAAGCTAAAAGTGAATTTATCATGACTAATGCGTTTCGCCCGTGTGTGTTTTTATGTAATTGCAGGCGAGCGTCCGTACAAATGCCACCTTCCCGACTGTGGACGGGCGTTCATCCAGCTGTCCAACCTGCAGCAGCACCTCCGCAATCACGACGCCCAGGTGGAGCGCGCCAAGAACAGACCGTTCCACTGCAACATCTGCGGCAAAGGGTTCGCCACCGAGTCCAGTCTGCGAACCCACACGTCAAAGGTAGGTTTCAGGACCTGGACGCCCAGACGATTCATTAATATTTATAAAAAAAAAACTAACATTTCGGTCAAAAGGTGCATGCCACAAGCCACAGGGGTACTAATTTTAATCAAAAAAATTATTTACTAACACACACTGCTCTGCAACATGTACGAAAAAGGGTTGAAATGAAATTTACTTGAGACTGGATCGCGTCATCTTTTTGCTGCGTCCTCGAAAACCAGACGCAAAATGTGTTTGTTTGGCTAAAAAAGCGGCCGCGCAATTTTTATTCTCGTGCCAGAAAGCGGATGCTGCGGCTCCTGGTACTAAAAAAAAATTGCTTCTCGGGAAAATGAAAAGGTAATTGGAAAAAAAACGCGATTCACGGTTAATTTTTTTGTGTACTGAAATATTTAGAAAGCTTCTTTCTCGTTGATGGAAATAACACCTTGTGTTGGACCGGCGGCGTGACCAATTGAAGCATTACTTACTCTCACTCATTACACGCCACCCTAATACTAACAGGAAGAGACGCGTATACGAAGCGGGATAATTTTTTTTGTAAGGTGTGCGTCAGACAACATCTTGCAAGAGCTTGATATTTAGTCTACCCCCTTCTTTCCAGCAGCGGTCGCTGGGGTTGAATATAATTATATAAAAAGAGAGAGAGACGAGCGCGTGAATCGAGAAAAAAAATTGAAGTGAGTGGGCGAGAATGAATAATAATTTTGGGTTTGTTATTGCCTAGTCAGATCGGTGCATGAGCCAGCGATGCCTATTCAACATCTGCTCTCTGTTTTTTTGCCTGTATGGTAATTTGGTCTCGGTGAGACGGACAAATGCTCACAATTGCTTTTTTCTGATCGTCCACATGAGAGCTAACAGATGATATTAAATTTTTTTGTAAATTAATAAAAAGTTTATAATTTATAATTATTTACGAAATAATTAACATTTTTAATTTAATATTTAGTATTTAATAAATTAAAGAATTTATATTTGTTTCTTTTTATGTTTTTACATAGTTTCTGTAATTTTAATAATATTGGAAATTATAAAACCATTTTTTTTCATTTAAAAAAAGAATACACTATATTTTATATTTTTATATTTTAAGGCACATTTGGGATGTAATGAAAGTTGAAGGTTATCTTTAATGGACCAGACTAATGCCGTTGTTATTTGTACCTTAATTAATTCTAACGAAACAATTAATATTTATTATAAATTCAAATTTAATATAAATAAATATTTAGTTCCAAAGCAGGTAACTTGGAACGCTTTCACTTTTATCAGTTCAGTGGGCGGCAGATGGAAAAGCTCATTTGAAACTCGAATTTTTTACGCTCTCGCGTCTCGTTTGTGTCCCATCAGGCTGTGCGGAAACTTTACATTACATTTTTCCTGCTGCCGGCTTCTTTGCTCCTTTTGGAAGCAAAAAATGACAAGCTTAAGTGGAGCGTGCCAGGGGAGACAATTATTTATCTGGCGCTAAATTTTTCTCTTTCTCTCTCTCCTGGCGAGCATAAATCTTGGGAAATCAGGGAAAAAAGCAGCCGGAGGATGATTTTACACCGCCTGCTGCTGCTGCTGCTGCTGCTGGAGAGGGAGCGAAAAAAGTAGAGACGCATCTGCATCTCCCGCCGCGCGTCGCTTCTCTTTTAAGACGCGCGCGCGGATGCTATTATCGCTAATTCACCGCCGCTCAGCTGCTTAATCCCTGGCGATAATTTGATTGAAACCTTGGCCGCAAAGTGTGCAGCGTAAGAGCGCCCGAGAAATTGTGTAGGATGCAACGCGCACCCCTTTTCTTTTGATACTCTGCATTTTCCAAACCAGCTTGATTTATTGCACGGCTCTTGGGAAATTCGTGTAAATTTTCACAAACGATTTTGCATCACTCTTTTGAAGATAAAAGTAATCCATGAATATGAAAAGTTTGAAATTTTATAAAAATATGTTTAGTAAATTTATTAAATATTTAAAAATTTCACATTAAATTTTAATTTATTAATAATTAATTCATGGAATATATTTTGAATAAGACAAATTACTCGTAAGCAACTTTTATAAATTAAATATTGCATCCTTTGATCTAAAAATCCAACAAAGTGTTAAAATCAGCAGAACACTCAAGATGGTATTTATTAATTCAATTTATTTAAATTACAGTTAATAAGTTTAACATCTGAAATTGGTACTCGTATTTATTTCCTATTTTGCAATTAATTTGGCCACCCAACTGCGCACAGCGTTGTGATGTTGTAAATACAAAAATAGCTGGATTATTTTGGCGAGTTGCATCCCCAAGAGTGCGACTTGTGGCAATTTTTCTGCCAATTTTGGCAGCGCTCGCCGTGTGCGTTGGCTCGTGAAATGCCTCAAGTGCGACTCCTGCATTTGAATACTAACAAGGCAAGAGAGACTTTTATAAAACCACCCCTTTTTTCATATAATACCGTCAGCAGGAGAAAGAAAGAAACACTCATTTTCGCGCCCTCAGATTTTTAGATAGTTCGGTCACGTAAAATAAATAACGTCAAAAAAGAGCGAAATTGCATCGATAACGCCTTAACATGTTGAAAAAATTACATGCGTTGGGGGAACTGGAAAGTGTCTCTCTCTCTTTCTCACCCCTTTCTTTTTCGCTCTGCCGGAGGAGAAAAATCGTAAAATTGTCATCATCAGCTCTGTCGCATTTTTCTGCGCGGCGCCGAGGAGCGAAAAGTTTTCTTCCGAAATTTTCGCCTCGGCAGGAAAAGCCATCAATAATGTATAACAAGTTTTTTATGGGGCGTTGTAATAATTAAGAATTCATTCCAAACATAAAATTTTATAGCCTCGGTCCACGCATACAAAACGAGTTGGGGCGAAAAGTGAGCGAAAATATTTTAACACAGAATGAAGAGTTTCTTGTGCGCCGCCGACTGCAATTTTCACTGTCGTTGAGCACTTTTTATTTTTGTGTGTGGGGTGCGATGCGTCATCTCGCGCGTGTGCATTAGATTTGCAGCGGGAATATAAAAAAGGGTTGAGATGATGAGTCTCTCCTCTATCAGATGGGGAGAGTGATTATATTTTTATACATTATACTTGATGCGCCAGGCCAACGAAAGAATATAAAGAAAAAGCGCGGGTCTCGCCACGCGGAAAAACTGGAGCAGAAAAATGCAAAGGGGTTCCGCTCATGAATCAAAACCTAACCAAAGCTAGGGGATGCTGCGACGTGTGTGGCCTTCCGAGGGGGTGTTTTTGGAGCTTCTTTTTGTAATCATTACCCTTTCATCAACCAAATCTCAAGCAGTTTTTAATTGGTAAACTTATGGGGCTTCCTTTTTCCTTTAAAAATTCTTTTTGTATAGAAATTTTAATGTAAATTTAAATTGATTTTGAATTATGTAATGCATAATATACTAAATGATATCAAATCAGAAAGAACATTTAAAAAAAAAACTACTATTAAAATTTCAGAGGGTCAGGAATAATATTAATTATTAAAAACTTATATTTAGAAAAATTAAAATGACAAATTTATAATATAACATTTTAAATTATTCCAAAATGCGCAAAAAAAAAAAAATTATTTTAAATATAAAGTTAATTAAAAAATATTATTAAAAATTTACAGAAATATGTATTACTGAAAATAAAATTAAAAATTTTTAATATTTATTACCAATTTAACTATTTACTAATAAAATCTTCTTGATCATAATCGATTTTATTGGCGTATCGTTTGAAGCTCTGGTCACAAACGGGCAGATCGGGAATTATTTGTTCAGACACATGATAATAGGCGAGTGTTGACTCAGCATTAACCGCCGGTCAGCTCCGTCCCTGCGCGCTCTGAAAAGCTGGTGGCTGCCCCGCCGTTTTAATAACTGCTCTCTCGCGTCTCTCTTTCGGCGCAACAAAAACACACATTTATTTAAACAGGCGGCGAAATGAGTGCACGAATAATAAAATATACGAGCCTGCAATTTACGCGACGGGCTTTTGTGTATATATTTATTTAAAATTCGAGTGCGCGCGTCAAAAAAGGATCAGCGCACAATTTTGTTGTAATGTAATTTTTGTTTATTTACATTGGGTGACGCGTCACTTTTATTTTAATCCTTGGAATTCTGTAAAACAACATAATTAATTAGCGCGTCACGGGCGGGCGCTGAAAAATACGCAACAGCGATTTATACCGCGCGAGTTAAGATTATCCGCGCCATAATAAAATAATTACAACGCCAGCAGATTATGTGGTGCCCTGATATATTTTCATAAATGCGAGGATTAAACGCGCGATGATTTATAATTAAAATTGCCCTCCTCTCTTTTGTTTGCCACAAGTGGCGCGAGCGGTGCTCCGCGAATAACAATATAAAAATTTACGCACAACGGCTGCTGCATGGGAAAGGAGAGAAGAAAATCACGCGCTGCATGGCCAAAGGGAGGCTTGGCTTCTCCCTATCGCGGTTCGCGGTTTATCAGGGCAGAGGGATAAGAAAGTGTAGAGTGCTCTTAAAAAACACTCAAGTTAACACTTAATTTACTTTTATTCGTCTATAATTATTAAAAAAATTTTTAAAATTCAGCTGCAATAATAATTTTAAAAATAGTAGATTCATAAATGTTGGTTAGTCCAACAATTCCTTTTCTTTAAATAAACTTTTTGACAATTGAACGCAAACAATTATTGTAACATTGTGGACAAATAAACAGCCACAATAATGATAATATATTTTGTAAAATCATTATTTATTTTCTATATTTTCTTCTTAGTTTCAAAATGAAACATTAAAAAACATTGAAATATTATATGTGTTCTTGGACATTCAATGAAATGGGTTTTATATATTTACCCCTTTTTATCAACTCGCATTTCATAAGACCAAAGACCGCGTTGCAGCCACACCGCTAAATTTCTACAAATTGCAGTGGGCGCCGTTTTAATCCCTTGTCCAATTTAAAAGACAAAGCCCCGCATTAGAAAAATGAGAGGACTCTTGAAAGCACCTTGGAGTCGTTCTGCGTTTATTGTATAAAAGTTTCGTGGGGTCCCTGATAGCTCCCGAGGGAGTTTTTGTTTTCTCTGCTCGGTTTTTAACGCACCAGGCTCTTTTAAAGATGAGAACTCGGCGCGCGGTTTGTTATGTTGCTGAATCCGTTTCCTCTCTCCGCGCCTTGTGTTTTGTGCGCTTCCGGCCGTCCGCCTTTGTTTCGAGGAGGAAGAAAAAAATTATTATTATTAGATCGAAAAGGGGGTGGAGGCGTCACGTGACGAAGGCGGTCGGTTCGCTGCGCAGAGAGATCCGCGAGGAGGAAAAAAATCATTCTCCCCCTGCCGCGCACGCCGCGAGTTTCTTATTTTTTTCTTTTCGCTCCTCCCTGCCTCGCTAAAAACGCCCTATCAATAGCGGATTTTTTTATATTTCCACCGCCGCGGCCGCCCCCCTCACTCTCCACCCTTGATGTTCTCACGTGCCAGATGATGCTGTGTGAATTTTTTCTCTTCTATTGGTAATCACGCATTATTTGCGCCCCTCCGGCGGCACCCCACGTGCGCCACAATGGAGCTCTCAGCCGGGGGTGACTCTCTCTCTTTCTCACTCACGTGATGACGATTTTTTCCACCATCCCCCTCGCGCCGCCTATGATTGATGTTTCCAATTCTATCCGCCATCATTTTCGACTGCCCCGATCATCAGCTTACATCATGCTGGTCTGTTACTTACGATTAATCAATAAGATGATACGCCGGCCCTCTTTTCCCTTTAATTGGAAAATTCACCCAAGGGAGGAGGCGAGCCGAGCTCTGCAGCCGGCCAGACGCACGTGACCGGCGCGTTGCATAACTTGGAAAAAACATCCCACATAAGAGATTTTTTTTAATATTTTCTTAAATTTTGAAGCACTACAATAGTTAATTGACGAATTTATAAATCTAATAAATAAGTTTAGTAACGAATATAAAATATAATATAAAAAGGTTGAAAACCCAGTTCTTATTCAATGCTAAATAATATAATTTTTAAATTTTATAATAATTAAATAATTAATTTTCTTTTCTAATGTGGGTCTTGACCTAGATTTGCTTTAAGATGGTCGAATTAACGCCGTTTAATTCGTGGGGCAATAAGACGTTGAGTCTCATCCCTTCGCGAAGGGGTTGTATGTGTGGCGGTCTAAATGGTAAGGCGCGTGGTATTTGCCGAGCAGTTAGAGGGTGACAATAAGGGGGTGGAACGAGGGCTAAAGCAAACCTTTGTACGTATATACGCGCGCGCGTCTCCTGCCTGCTCCGCCGACTGTACACAGAGCATAGTCGACCCGCTATACACAGGGATGAACACGCTGCTGAGGCAGTGTATTACACAAGAGAGACGTGATACGAGCAGAGCAAAGCTGCTGCTTCAACAGGTCCCGCCGCCCGTAGAAACACACACAAACTTTCGCAACAATCTCTTTATACCGCAAATTTCCACGGAGGATTAAATAATTCATAAGTTGCAGTGGCTCAAAAAATTGTTAACTAACAAACTATGGTGGTGGATTTTTTTATCATAATTACTAATGAAATAACTGACGAAATACTTTAGAATTTAAGAGACAAAATATTACTAACAAAAACGACAATATACAATTTCTAATCGCCAATTTTCGTTTTGTTTTCAAATCCGGATGTGCAGTATTTTGGAAGAATGACTCATGAGGTATTGTTACAACAACCAATTTATCTACTATAGCAAGCTTGTTTGCAAAGTCTGCATTTTCTGGAAACTATTTGTTTTGCTTTTTCAAGAAAAACTAATTCTTCAAAGGAGACGATTTGATATTCGCAATATCTCGGTCAAAATTAAACCTTCTTTCAAGAAATAGTTTTTGTTTTTCCTCCTTTGTGCAACTCCTATTTTGTGATTCACTGCTGTGTGAGGTTCAGCTGCAGCAAAAATAATATATTGTGCATTGCAAAACCGCACGTGGAGCTCTGCCTATCTATTTTTATTTCTAGTGCTGCACCAAATACTTTCGCTCTCTGTGCGCGCGGCCGAGATGCAGTGGCGAGCGCGAATTATTTTTACTCGCTGAGCGCGCGCTGCATTTTTGGCTTGCAGCGCTTATTTGCTTTCCTGAATGCTTTCTCTGCTGCTAGTTTTAGACCGACGCAAGGTCGCGCGACTCTCACTACTTAAGACACACACACGCGCGCCATTTTTGCGCCGTTGCATTTACGTAGCGAGAGGCGCCAACTTTCGTGCTCGGTTATTTCTGCTCTTTTATGATTTTGCACTGCATTTGCTTTTTGTTTTCTTAGCGAATGCATGCGTGTTGAGAAATCTAGAACTGTTTGGCTTTAGTTTTTGAACTATATATCCATTAATTTTCGCCCCACACAAACACTGATGGACAATAAAGATGAATAAAATACACACAACCCTATCCCCTCTTTTAATTGAGACAGCGTATTTTTTATTTGTTTTCGTTTGGTTTTGCTGCTGAGTCTCTGGTAAGGTTTAAAAAAAATACTGCGCAACTTCAGACATCAAGATATCTACACTTTTAATAAATTGTTTTTCATTATTCAATTGACAAACAAAAATGAATAAAAAATATATCTGTCTCGATGAAAGAAAGAAAGAAAGAAAAATATATGAGAAACAAAAGAGAGAGATGAAAAATAAAGCTGGTCTGCGAGCGAGTGTTAAAAGTTGGCGCGTGCTCAGTGCAGCTCCGCAGTTTTCGCTCCCTTTTTCAAATTTAAAAAGGGCTGGCTCGAAAAAGAGTGGCTGGAAATAGTAGATAAAACTGCAGCCAGAGGGCCGCTTTCGCTTTGGAAAAGGGTTGAGGGGAAAAAGAGGAGTGGCGCGTGACACTCTTGCTCGCTCGCAGCCCCGTTCGTTTTATATAAAAGCTGCGGCGCTTTAATATCATTACCCGCCGCCGCCGCCGCGCATATCCACCTAGCCAGTTTTTCACCCCTTTTTTGCGCGCCCGCTCTGCATGCGCGCTCTCTCTTTTGGTTCGAGCTCGAACTATGAACGAGCTCCGCATTCTTCTTCAACCCTTTTTCGCGCCCCGGCGCGGCCTTTTTTGCCGTTCGCTCGTTCCGACTTTTTGCGCTACGCGGCGCACCCTTTGCCTTTTGCGGCCGAAAATATGGCGAGGGAATTTTAAGAGCAGAATGTGTGAGAGAGAAAGATCGATAAATAAATATATGCAGCGAATAAAATTGGGAAATTTCGCGCCCCTCCGTGGCATGCACTTTTAGCTCCGAATCGAAGGGGAAAGTCTGAATTATTGCATGGCGTTGTTTTGCAGGAAATTTGGCTCCAAATCAGACTCGTTGTTTATACTATATTTAGGCTTATATTTTCCCGTCGCACTTGAATATTCAGTGCACACTCCCTGATGATCGGATAGTTAATATTTTACTACTATTTGACCAGACTGGGACCGTTTTAAACTTTCACTATTGCACATATTTTCCACTTGAGAATTTATTACCAAATCAAATTATGTGTGCTCGTTTTAACTGATATATTTAAATGCCCTTTGGAGGTTTAAAATGGAATGGTTCAAAATCCCGCCTAGTAGTTTTCCCACAAAGTAAATAAATCAACCCATTTCGTTTAATTTAATCAAATATAGAAGCAGCTTTTATGGCTAAAACGTTTCAAAATAGCTACAATTTTACCCCTAAAAAACGAGTCTGAGTTGATTTTTGTGCAGCTTTTGGGTGTGCAATTTTAATTTGTGGCACGTGTGTATATTGAATAATAGTTTTCAAAAATATCAATTTGTATATATAAATTTGCTTAAAATTGTGTGTAAATTAACCAAGTGAACCTCACACGAGTCTTCTTGTCCTTTTTCTCCTACGCTTTGCCCTTGGTGCTTTGTGCCTGCTTCCTTGGTGATGCGCGAGAGCAGGAGCTACAGCTGCGTGATCCTGTATTGCAGCAGCACGCAGCTCTCCTCGGTGGACCCAACGCCACCAGCTGCCCCGTCTGCCACAAGGTGTTCCTCGGCGCCGAGGCCCTCATGGAGCACATGAAGACCACCCACAAGGACCCCAACGCCTCTGGCATTGCAAGTAAGTTGCTTAACCGCATTTTAATCCATATAATTTTTGCTTCTTGCAACTAACAAAAAGTTAAATATTTTATTATTAAAGTATACCGTATGCAGTCCAGATAATTAGATAATTTTTTATAAAAATTTATGGAAGTAAAAATATAAAAGAAACTCATTCTAATATTATTATGATTTTTAATAACATTTTAAACAGTTTTGTAATGTTATAAATTTATTTATTTATTTTTAAATATTATTTTAAAATAAAAAATCCATTTCGTGCCAAATATGCAACCGGCACTATTTTGTTGTCGAGCGGACTGCATACATTCCCAACCTCAGGCGATCCCAACTTCACGCGTCATTTGAAATTTTCTGATAAACCTCATGTTTTGGCGAACCTGCAAATTTAACTTTTCCAACGCGGATAGAAAAAGGTCAAATGACGCTTGAAATGCTTTGGGCCCCCACATTGCTGCTTTCGGTGGTCGGTTCTGGCAGTAGGCATTGACCAGCTCTATGTTTTCTGTTCCCCCTGTTCCATCCGTTCCTCCCGTGGACACGTACTTAGCCAAGAGGCGGACGGCCAACCACCCGTGTCCGGTGTGCGGCAAGCACTACGTCAACGAGGGCAGCCTCCGCAAGCACCTGGCGTGCCACCCTGAGACGGCCCAACTCTCCACCTCGCTGCGCATGTGGCCCTGCAGCGTGTGCCAGGCCGTTTTCACCCACGAGTCAGGTGAGCACAAATATCAGTTGCAAAAATCGTATTTTTTTTTTATCATACTATTTTGTATAGAAAATTTAATAATACTTGTAGGTTTCTTTTATTAACTTTAATTATCAAGGAGAGAAAAATTCATAGCAAAATTAGCTGACAATATTTAAAAAAAAATCTCCAATTTTCGGGAATTATTTAATTTTTATTTTATAATTACAAAATGCAAATGACATGGAAGAGAAATCTACCAAACGAAAAAAAGTAGTATAAAAAATAAAATGATGAATTATAATTAAATTACAATTTCTGAGCTGAGTAATTTACGTATGAAGCATGTTGGTATTTTGTTAAAAAATCTTGCGAAAAAAAAGTTATTTCATGAAAAAATATTGGGGTTTGAGCTAAAAAAAAAACTGTCCGCGTCAAAGAGAGGAGTTGTGACCGCAAACACAAATATACACGCGCACGTGAAATTATTGTTATTTGATTTGGGCGGGTTGACGGGGTGTGGAGGGTCGGGTGCGCGCGTTTTTTGCCCTTTTTCCGCGCGTCCAATGGTCACTGTTGTGTATTTTGGCATGTTTCGCCGGCGTGCCAAACAAGGGCGGGACTGCGCGAGGGAGGAGCGATCGCCGCTTCCTGTTGTGTGGCCCACAATAATAAAGAGCACCATCAATATTTATGATCGCCAGAGATATATCATCATTATGTGACCGCACCAATAGGCCGTTTTTTCGCTCGCACGAAAAAAGCGCCGCCGCCGCCGCCGCTGCCAGTTTGAATATGCATACAAGCAATAAAACATAATGACAGCGGCGCACGATTTTAAAATCATTTGTATTCCAAACAATGATGGTGCGCGGCAGACGAGGCCATTGTGCCTCTGTGGCCCTCCGGGGAAATGCGGTGCTCACTGAAATTTGGAAAGTATAGTTTCGGGCCGGCCTGCCAAATTGTTTTAGCCTCGCAAAAATGATTGATTTCGTACGTTTGGCCGCGCTTTTCATGATACGGTGCCTGCCCATTGTCCTTTTAAATTGGCAACTTAAAAATAATCATTTTTTAATCACCTGATAAAAATATCTTCATACAAAATAACATTAATTTATGGACAGAAAAATTAATAATCTTTCAAGAAGATATTCCAAATAATCGTTTAAATTTTCTAGAAGAACGAAAAAGACATAAAATTGGGAATAAATATTCAAGATTTTCAAGCAAATTTTTAAAAATTTGTGAAATTCTTCAATAATCATTATGAGAGCGTGAATCGTGCGAAGTACATGCAGCCTTAATTTGAAATTGATGAGCGGCTGTTATAGAATAAATTCTTAAAAATTCTAATTCAAAACCATTTTTTTTTTCTTTTTATTAATAAAATTGCAAGATATTTGGATATTTGCAAGGATTGATCTCAATGCGCACCTGTCAGGTTTTATACAAAATTAAAAAATATAATATAAATAAGTTTTTGTGGTGCGGGTTGCGTATTTTTCACAACTTCAATTTTTTTTATTAATTCAATTAATATATTCATTATGTAATGAAAATAATTTTATTAATTAAATTCTAATCAAAAAGTTATATAAATTAAAACTGCAAATTTTTGAAAAGTTACAAATACGTCTTCAATTTAATATACGAGAACTATTATTATTATTTTTATTTTTGTAAAAACGTAAATAGTAAAGTTAAATTTCTTTTATTTTAGATTTATACCTTTGGACAAATTTACAAAAGTTTTTATTCTTTGCAGGACTTTTGAGTCACATGGAGCACATGAGGATGGACCCGAAGCACCAGTTCGCCGCTCAGTACGTGCTGAGCCGCGCGGCTGCTGAGCGTCGCGAGCGCGAGACCCTTCTGGTGGCCGCCGCAGCCACGCTGGCCGCCTCGAACCAGAGCATCAACGCGAACGCGCTGAACGCGCTGACCAACGCCGGACCTTCAATGTGCGCGAGTCCGTCGGCCAACTCGGAGAGCAGCTCCGGCCGCATGAGTTCGCCGCTCAACATGCAGCTGCAGCCCAACGACATCTGCAAGATGGAGCGGCCAGGATCGGCCTCGGAAATGGCCGCCGTCAACGCCGTCGTCAACAACAACAACAACACCAGCAACAGCAACAACAACAACAGCAGCAGCCAGAATAGCAACTCGGTCACGCCGACCAATATGACGATGAACAACCACCTCGGCCACCTAGGCCACCACCTCGGCCACTTGGCCGCCGCAAACCACCACGGAGCCGACTGCGGCCAGAACCTGGTCATCCCCACGTCAATGGCAGCCGTGACGGCCATCGCGGCCGCAGCCGCCAGCCGCATGTCCGGCCCGCAGCCGGGCGACCAGGCCAACCAGGCGGCCGCGGCCGTGGCCGCCGCCATGCGCATGCAGGCGGCCCAGCACGCCAACGGCGGTTCGGACATGAACAGCCTGCGGCCGAACGAGTTGAGCGCTCAACAGGAGGCGGCCATGCGCATGCAGGCCGAGGCCCTGCTGCGCTCGCAGGCCGAGGCCGCCCTGCGGCTGGCCGTCAGCCAGGCGGCCGCCGCCCAAAACGAGAGCCGGCTCACCGTGGCCAGCTCGACCATCAGCAACGTGGTCAACGGCATGATGAACAACAGCGTGCACAACGGCCAGCTGAGCAACGGCCTGGCCTCGCAGGCGGCCACCAACATGATGAACCAGAGCGCCGCCCACCAGGCGGCCGCCGAGCTGACCGAGGCGCTGAGACTGCAGGAGCAGCGCCTGGAGCAGGCGCTGCGGCTGCACGGCGGCGACCCGCGCGCCCTCGGCTTCTCGCTGGCCCAGCAGACCATGCAGCAGACCATGCAGCAGACGATGCAGCAGACGATGCAGCAGGGAAACTGAGGATTAGACGGAGCGATGCTCGACCTGGCGCTCGCCTACATTATGAATAATTCCGCCACGCCCAACTCCGCCGCCGATCATTAACGACGGAGTCAGGAATTATTCAGAATGCAATTAGGCGACCGAGTAGAGCCCCGAGGACTTTTTTTAGCCAGGAGTTACTACAACGCAGGAGGATATGAAAACTAAAAATATAGAAAGCAGAGTTTGTGACAAGCGGACACTATACACACTATTGTATCGTTGTTGAGTTGAGACAAAATACCGTAGCGGTCGATTTGTGTAATGATTGTAAATCTGTGCTGAGATATGAGTGGTCAGGGTGCGAGCGAATAAGGTAAAAAATTTCACTTATTGTATAGTAAATGTCGCAACAGCGGGTGAGCGGTCCGGTCAAATCGGGCCGGCACCTTAAAAACACTATTTTAAACCGTGTGCACGTCGGATATAATGGGGAAAATTTGTTGTTGACAAAATGCAGATATGAAAAATTATTTAAGCGGTATACTTATATAAATACTTGCAAATATTTTGAGGTTAGCGATTTATTATATAAAATATTAAGGTCGGCGTGAATGAGAGTGAGAACGAAAGGTTTCCGATATATATTAATTATTATAATATATATAAAAATGAGGAACACATTAATTGATTCTTCTTCTTCTACTTCTATCTAGAGACGAGAGAAAGGCGCTTCTTTCAGATGCTTTCTGTTGTCGTTACGTTTCTCTATCTTACTAATTAGTTGTTTTCATAAATGCGATCAGTTTTTATTGAACTCTGAGAATACCAAGGACAAAAGGTGAATATTGATATAATAATTCTCTCTGTGATTGTTTAAGTTTCCTTTTTGAGAAAGAAGATAATAACTAATAATTGAAGTAGTAGATTTTATGGAAAAATTAGTCTGAAATAGAGGTAAAAGATGACTTCTATATTTTAACAAATATAAATGCAAAGAGTGGCGAACAGATTTTTATAATTTTTACTGAAAACAAAAACAAATTAATGAGCAGTTGAAGGATAAACCACAACAATATAGGGACGAGTATGGGAAATATTTTTTGAAACTCACACACGCGAATATTTAACTCTTCCGAAGCTCTTGTCACCGTACAAACAAATATAAATATCAAAACCGAATTCAAAATACACACACGTTCGGCCGCAGATTCCTTTTCGAACCCCCGCTAAATTCGCAAGTTTCGGCCTCGCTAAATTGAGAAAAACAAACACACACGCAAAAGCCGAAAAGGGAATCCCAAAACGCGACGTGGGTCTGACGAAAACGGATCACCACCCAGAATGCTGAGAGAAAAAAATGCTCACCGAATATAATAACACACTCGCGATTTTTTCGTTTTCACCTGAGTTACAGACGTTCTGATGTCTCTTGATTTCTCTGATGTACAGCAGTAAATACACACTAATGCAATAGTAACTGACACACATACACACTCACACACACACAGACGAAGAAAAAGTATAAAAAAAACTCACACAAACACGTAAAACACACTCAATAGATTACAATAGTTCACAAACGCAATCAGCTCCGCGTTCCGAACCGCAATCATGAAAAATTTGACCGGCCGAATTTTTTGAACAGCAGGAATCACATCTCGCAGGCGTTGGGCGAATTAATTTATTCGGCCGGTCTGATTAGAGGGGCGTCGGGACGCGGTCCATCTCAAACGGAGAGACGTCGCCCGCGCCAGGGGGACGTCCGCGCAAATGCAGAATTTCTGTTTTTGGCAGGGGGCAGTTTGCGTTTTGCTAAACTGCTCCTCGCCGCCGATTAACCAAAAGTGGCGGCCACAAAAGTGGCGCCTCATCACTGAGCAAGAGACAGACCCACCAGAGTTATAAGAAAAAGAAAGTGTTATACAAACATGAAGCACACACTTTAACTTAACTAAAAACCACCACCAACACTCACAATAAGAATAAAAAAAAAAATTTCACTAACACGCACTGCTGCAGTAAACGTGATTAACCAACGGCGATTAATTAAGTCGATCTCCTATACAAATATGTGAAGCAAAAGACTTACGAATCCGCGACACACACATGAATGAATAATGTGTAGTATTTCAAACAAAATCGTAAATAAAATACCGGTTGCCTCCGCGAGCTAAAAGTTGTGAAAAAAAAATGACGGACGCGAACCATCTGCAAGTACTAAGCAGGAAAACCGGGAGTTAATTTACATACAGCAGCCACCGTACAGTAACTTTTCGTTACAGCCAATGTATGCCGACGAGGGAGGCGGGTTGCGAACACCTCGACCTCCCCACACATCAAACCAAGTATTAGCCAGGCGTAAGGTTAATTCGCCGAAGGTCGGAGCCGGCGGAGAGTCTTACCAGGCGCTAATACCCGAGCACAAGCCAAGTGGAAGTCCAGACGAGCACCAAAGGGGCGCCCGAGAAAAGCGCCCCCTCGGCTGCTCGAGTGGGCGGCCAATTCAATCGTTTTAGTTCTTACACGTTAATTCCTTACATACTTAAACTAACACGCAGTTTTCTTTTTTAGTACGATGTATTACATTTTTGCCGCTTAACTTTTAATCGAGCATTTTCCTCTTTCTTTCCATTTTAACCTTTTTTATTATTAATTTATGTGTGCGTTTGATTGATTACTTGACTTATTAATAATGCAGGTTCTTATAGTTTTTTAAGTTGAGTAACTTTTAATTTTATGATTAATATTATTCTATATATATTACCCCGATATAAGATGTTTATTGAGCTATGAATATATTTAATCGCGATTATTATGTATACACTCGAACTACTGCGGTTTAAGTTTTCGATGTTATAGTTAAGTTTGGACGATGCAGCCATTATTGTTTTTGATCTATCGATTTGACACGCAGCCATTAAGTTTGCGCGCAATGATTAATTATTACACACACACGCAACACACACATGTACTACTTATTATTACATAATGCTACATACAAGTAATAACAATAATACACATTATTATGGAATTCATGTTAAATAATATCACGCAACACTATGTACACTCTTAAGGCAGTTGAAAAAAAAAGAAGAAAGAGAATCCAATACCATGCTACTTCGGGTTAAAGTTAATTAAAACAAAAGGGATGCAAAGCAGGCAAAATTCGAGAAAACCTCTCACTACTCACACCGAGAAAAGGGATCCATTGATTATATAATTACTAAAATACATTTAAAAATATTTAATAGTACAATGCTCCTCTCTTTACTCTTTCTCTTTTCCCACAATCGATGCAGAAACACACAAACCGGTTTTCTTCTAATTATACGCAATAGGAATCAAAGAATAGAGATTGAGAATAAGTACCGTGTATCGTTAAGCAAGCTGTATTCCATTTTTATCGTTTTCCGCTCTCCTCGCATCAAACAAACGCGAAAACAAAAACTTCCGTGCGTATGTATTATTTCTTCCGAATAGCTTTGGGAAATAATATACAATCGTTGTTGATGCAGAGTTATTGTCGTTTCCTCCACTCTCAATTTGAATATATTGTGCTGAGAAATGGGTTGCAGAACATTCGTTACAGTTCAATCTCAATCGATCCTAATAAATGTACGTGTTGAATTTTCTCCAAGCCTGCGCCAAACTGCAACACCCCAGTTTCTTTTTCCAAATTCTTAATTAAAAATAAATACTTAAAAAAAAAATACAAATTTATATTTTGGACGAATTTCCAATTTATTCATTTTCAATTGAATTGTTCTCGAAAGCAATTAAATGGAACTGGAGCGTTGACGGTCGGCGCAGGAACTTTGAAATTGGGATTGTGCCGTTTTCCAATTTGAACCATGCAATAGAATGTTAAACTACAATTAATGATTTGAACAGAGTTATTGTGCCCAGTCTGATTTTCGTCCCAGTGTTTCTTCCATTGTTTCAATGTTGTCGACAAGCCCACAAAATGCCGATCAGTTGTTTTTTCTGCTCAAATCCACATCACAGAAACAGTGACGAACCTTTAATTGCTCATTGTGAACGCACGCGTTATTTTAAGGACATGAAATAAATGTATTTAAAAAAGAAGAGGAAAGCACGTGACACCGTAGTGTATACGGTGCCGCGTCCTTGCCCACAGAAAATTAGAACTTCTTGCGGCCTCGCATCGGTTAAAAAAAAATGCAAAAATTCTCACAGTTATATTGACGAGATGCTTCGCAAAACCTGTTGGAAATACACACTTGTCAAACCCACCTTAAGGCAGTTATTGTTCCTAACAAGTTCGGATCCAGACTGCCTAGCTGCCGAAACAATTTTGTTGATTTTTCTTTGTATGTAAGTACACTGCACAGTTGTCTGCGGAATATGTAATATTTATAATTGTGTATTCAGGACTTTTCCATTTATTGTTTTTTGAACGATGGTCTCATGAAGAACGACGACTGCTCTTTTTGTTCATTGTATATGTTTCGCGCCAAAAGACTGTGTGGATTTGTTGATTACGTCTTTAGAAGTATTCCAGGCTTAAGCAAAAAAGATTGATTGAATAATTGCGATGTATAAATTTCGACCAAACCTAGGGTGCAGCCTCTCACGAAGCTAAATTCTTCAAGTCTCTCTTTCCAATTTAGTTTTTCTTGTTGGTTCTGTGATTCAGACGCTTTAGTTCTAGTCTAAAAGTGGACTTTAGAGAATTTAAGGAAAAAAAAAGAGAAATTTTATTTTTACTAAAATTATAAAACGAAAGGAATTTTAAGCTCTTCTTTATGTTATATTAAATACCAAAAATTCTTTTTCTCAATAATATTTTATATCGTTCCTCTTCGCACTAATTTTTAATTTCCTATTGTTCGCGCGTTCTGAAGCAAAAATCTACATGTGACTCTTTGTAGTGCTGCATAAATGTGAAAACAAAAACTATTATCGAAAAACGAAAATGTTCTTTAGAGGTAAGCGAAAATGTCAAAGATGCATATTTAAACTCGCAAGTATATATAATTATGGTTCATTGAGAGATATTACGGAAAAAAATTAAGGCAAAAATTTGCGACTGAGATAAATCGTGTTTAAAAATGAAAAAATTGTGTAAAAAGGGTTATTGCTTTTTATGGAGAAATTGCCAAATCAAGGTCATGACAAATGGATATTTCCTCGCGTTTTCATAATGCGTTTGCGCGCCAGAGAATGGGAAAAATAAGAGACCAAAACTTTTCGTAAGAAAACAAACAAAACTCTCACTTGAATAAGCAAATCACGTCTCTCTGCTGCGGGCAAACGCGCAAAATGGCATCTAATTTTCATTCCCATTGTTTTCATTTTGTGGACAGCTGTTTTGTGTGTAGTAGAGTTATATAAACATATAATAATAAATATAATATTCAATGGACATCAACGTGTGTTTTAATATCGAACCAACCTATATAAATTAATTTTGTTTTCATTGAATGAGACGACTTTTGTTCTGGTGTATATTAATTGGTATACTTTATTTCTCGTCGTCAATAATTTATACATGGCACTATATACGAATTTAAAATATATATCAATTTGAAAATATTGCAATCAATTTTGTGATTTAAAACAGGAGCTCTTTTTTCCATTTTACTTTTAAAAATAACATAATATATGCTTTATATATATTATATCTCTCTCTTCGTTATTCTACTTAAGCGTTGGTGCGTTTCATCAGTTGGTCGCCGACTTTAATCAAAATACTCTTTCATGAATAAAATGACAAACTTTACAACTCTCGCCTATAAATGGATATTTACAGATCTTTGGAGACTCTTTTGATTCAACTAAAATAATAAAACTTTGAACACTTTTCGTAAAAGCTACATTTTGAAATTTCACAGTTTATGTACACCTGCACAAATGCATTCCACAGTTATTATTATTTACAACGGTGATAAATTTCTTTCAACAATTAGAAGGAGAACTCATGAGAAAATTATACTTTTATTGTTGCAAAAAGCTGCTATATTTATAATAATTAGGCTCTTCCTCAAATCATTGTTTCTCTCCCTCTAAATAAGGCTCCACTGTGACCTTTTATAACATCCAAAATCTATCTCAAAATTAATTTTCTTCTCAGAATCTCAAAATAAATTCTCAATTACAAAAATAAAATGAAATTTTTAAAAGAAAATTATTTTCATATTTGTCTCGTGAGTAATCCGGCAGGGCAACTAAGCAAAAGAGATTCATGCACCTCCACCTGGGCCCAAACCTAATCTAGGGACAAGACACTCTCCTTGCTGGCACGCTGGATGTTCTTGACGAGAGGCCCGCCGAGGTAGCTGACTGGGTTGCCGTAAGTCCTTTGGCCCTCGGAGAGGAAAACTGGCACTGCGGTCGTGTCCGGGGACAATTTTGGCTTCCAGCGTCTGGGCCGCGTCGGCAGGACTATCGAATCGGCGTCGGTGAACTTTGGCCGGTGGTGGTTGCTGACGGGGGTGCTCGCAACAGGGGAGTTCTGCAATCGAACCAAACTTCAGTCCAAATTGGCCGCCAAAATAAATTTAGAGTTAGTGGAAAGTTTTTTTTTTAATAATCAATTCTTTTGGTGCCTGTTAGTTTTTTTTAATTTTCTAAATTTTCTCTTTTTTTAAATTTAAATCTAGTCAGCAGAAAGTATAGAGTGAGTATGCAAATGAATATTCACCTTTTTAATTATACAAGAGGCTTATAAGGTGTGCAAGCAAAGTAACGTGCTACAAAGGAAGTCTTCTCTACGGGTCCTTTTTTGAAACCTACACAAAAAACAAAATCATGCGAAATCAAAATCAAAACGGCAGGCAAAAATCATAACTGGGCAATAAATAAGCTCGGTAATAAAATTAATCAAAATCCTGATCGATTGTAAAAATAATTTAAAATACACCAAAGGACACGTTTTACATAATTTTGAAGACAATAAAATGGTACAGGAAGATCCATGCAAACAAATAAGTAAAGCACAAATAGGTTTTTTCCAGAAAAGTGAAAGCGCTCCTCCCAGAACATAAAAAACACTTAAAATTATGTACATACAGTTTTCATGCAACATTTTCGATGGACGTGAGATGGAGGTGAGTTAATAAAATTTTGTCCCCTTTTTGGAGTTCTAATCAAGCACAACTCTCGTCATATCTTGTCTCATTTACAATTGCAGCAAAAATGTCACTTATCGTGGCAAAAAATTAAATAAAAACTAAACAAAAACATGCTGGACTTATTATAATTAACATATTATTTACAAAAATATTGTTGCGTGTGGACAGGCGTTATTAAAAATTCAGCAAAAAGTAAGTGGCTACTCACCAACAAGATGCGATTACAAATGTTGGCACTGACATTTGTGTCTACTTTTCATTCAAAACTATATATAAAGGAAAAAGAGATTTTGAAGCGAGTCAAATCAGAGTTATACAAGTCCGAATTATTTAAACTGATTGAATTTTTAAAAGCTGTCTGATTTGACTTTTCGGTTAGTAAATGTTTCAAAACTGGACAAAAACGACGCCATAAAACAAGAAGGTTGTTTAGCATTGTGACCTTTTTTATTACTCGTAAATATCTCTACATATGGAACATAAAATACAGACTGCTCTCTTTCAATCCGGCGAGTGTGTTTGTGTCTAATTGGGTGATTTTTCCTCTTTTGCCAGCGCAAAGAGGAATTTATATATAAAGGGCATTTTCCGCTTAATTCACACAGCAAGTGATCATTTTTACTGTATTAATTAATTATTTTTTTTTTCAATCGCGTCTTCAAGTTAGTTTTGTAAGTAGTTTTACAAGAAGCATATCAATCACAAATACGATGACGTACAATGTAATAATAAAATACTTTTTTACAAATCAAGGGACAAAATTTTATGTCTGACATTGTGATATAAGGCAAATACAATTAACTCTCTCTTTCACTTCGTCGAGCGCGCGGCAAGTAATTCAAAGAGCGGCACAAGATTATTTTTTGTATCGATTACTTTAAGTACACAGCAAAATATCATAGTTGAAGTCCTATTGTTGGCACCGTAACGGCGATTCTCTCAATCCTGTCTTTCTTTCTTTCTTTATCCTGCGCCTGTTTTTTGTTTTCACCTTAACTGATAAAGGTCCACTTTCACTTCTGCTAAATGCAAGGTATGATGATGCGAGATAGACACATATTGATGTATACAGCACACATATAGTCGCACAGTTTCTCTGTGTTTAATTAGCAACATTTACATGTCATGCTGTCTTTTTCCACTTTTGATATAAATGGTCTCGTCACACAAACGCGCTATGCAGGCGGGTGGAAATCTTTTGAAATCGCAATTTTTAATTTTAATTCAATTATTTGGAACTTTCCACCGACCTGAAGGCGCGTCGAATTAATTTGACAATGTAATCATGCATGCATGGATTTGAGATGAACACAATAATTCACGCAATCATATCTATTTTACAATAGGCCTTTGATGAAAGACAATTAATTTATATATGTATTTGCAACTTCAGGCCTAAAGGGAACGAAATTTTGGTAAAATTTAAAGTAGTGTGTGCTACGCAAGTTTTGAAAAACGCTTCTCTCTGGCTATTTTTTGAACTTTAATCAAGAGCCTCGTCAACGCAGAACACAGCAATCGCAATTTTTGTTTTTATCTCTGGTAACTTTCCTCACCGTAAATTCTTATCATATATTTATATTTTACATTTTTAATATTTATGTTTCAATCACAATTTTTGTGAGGATTTAATCCTAAACTTTTCTTTCTAAAAGTGAATGTGAATTTTATACTTTTTCAAATTTGCTGAGAGATGCACATTAAAATTCTCAACGCGTCTAAAATAGCAGCGAGACGTTTCTCTAAATTCAGCCACTAAGAAGCGGATTTTTTTCCATTTTTATTCTAATTATTATTTGCTCGTGAATGCATGAGCTGAATTTCTCTTTCTTAAACCCTTAGAGGAACTAAATTTGGCCCAAAACATGCTACTGATTAAGAAGATTTTTTTCTTCTCTGCGTATTAAAATTAAATATTTGATTATTTTAGAATTGCTGGTGGAGATCACTGCAAAAAATACTACATGCGCAAAAACTGCCTCCGTCTTTCTGGTCCTCTAAAAGCAAGCTCAAAAATCCCTCCTATCACCTCTTTTTGAATCTAATTAAAAATTTTAAAACGGTCGTGAACAATTAAAATTACAAAAAATTTGTGCCTCCGATTTATATGATTGCACTTTCTTTCATCTAATTGTAAGCTCTCTCTCGGTGTACAAAATAGAATCGAAACTTGTAAAATATAGCTCAAGAGATTTTCATTTTCCAACTGCTAAAGTTGCAAGGCCCGCGCAAACTATGCATTGAAAATGGACGAAAAATCACACCACATTTTATTTTTACGAAAACTGGTTCTTTGATGGTGGAAAATAAATGAATGGTGAAACAAGGTACACCGGAAAATATACCGCTCCGTTATTTTGTACACTCAACTTTTTGATATGGTGGACTCGCGCATCCGAAAAGTACACAGGGAGAAAATATTTTTATCTCTCATTTGAGTCTGATTGCATCATTTTTAAAAACAATTTGCATTGGATTTCCATTTTTCGTTTGTTCCAGAGTTTAATAAATTAATCGTCTGTGCTATTGAGGGTCAGCCTGCTGCCCATGTACAAAGTCACCTCGCTAATCGAGCTGAGCGGAGCCAAGTGGGCCAGACTTGAACTTACCGGCTCTTCGCTTGACCGGTCGGCTTCGGCGGTCACTTCGTCGTCGCCCTCCTCCATGTCCAGATGGTCCAGGCTTTGGATCATGGCGTCGCTCACCTCATCATTCTGCTGGAAAAAAGTCATTATCGAACACAAAATTAATGCAAAATGCGCCTTTATAAATGAAATTTATTTTCTAAATGTGTTAAATATCACTTTTTAAAATTAAATAAATAAATAAATAATGTTGCCAAATTTTATTACTAAATTTTACATTAAAACAACAAATTTTATATCACAAAGTTTATTTATTTAATAGTTTTATTAAATTTATTTATTTATCACAGGATATTTTTATTTCTAAATCTAGAATTTTTTGAGTAATTACTGGTTTTATGTAAATAAATTATATAAATTAAGAGCTACGGATATTGATTATTTTTTATAAATGTTAAAATAATACATCATTAAGGACGTTTAAAGTACTCTTCTAGGATTATGCTATTTCTAATTATATTATAAATTTTTTTTTACCTCTCCTAAGAGCTCTGCCCCTTCTCCTTGTGGTTCCCACTTGAGCTCCGCATCAGAGTTGTCTAAAAAATAAATAATCAAATAAATTTTAAACAATTAAATAATTGTCCGAACCGTTTTTAATTGTATTTTCGACTTTCTTTTGAGGTGGCGACCCGTTTGGTGGAGAAGAGTGGTTGGAGTTGATTGCTTCGTGTTTGGTCAGCGGTTGCAGTTCGGTGCCATTCTGGGCGATTCCATCGTGCTATTTAATTATTCAGGAATTATTTTCATCAATACAATTTCTCGGCATTTCTTACGTTTTTGAATCCAATTATCTTTACAGGTGGGTTAAGAACAGACTCGGTGTATTTCGGCGGCATCCACATTTCGTCCTCCTGGCGCTGCCTCCTTTTGTAAGCGCGGTTGTTCCTGATGAGCTCGATGATGCAGCCGATCACAATGACCACGAATATTGAGGCCAGAATAATCAAAATCGCTACAGAAATATTTAAATTACATTAAAAATTAGATTTTTTTATTTCCTAAATAGTCTAATTATTTAAATGATCAAGAAATTACAAGATTTTTTATTGGTACCAATTGTTTTCAACTTTAAATTACTTACTGTTGGTGTTGTCAGCCTCCTTGACTTTGGTTTTGTAGGGCGTGTTGTATGCAATCCTGCTTGGCGGATCCTCCACCCACGCCTTGTCTTTCCACTCTCTATCAGTGGCAAGCTATTTTTTTTTAAATAAAATTAATAAGTCGATCAATTTAAAATTAAAAATCATCACCATGCTGACGTTGGTCAAAGTAGGCAGAAGATTTTGTGTCGATTTTTCAACGACGGCGAACGCGGCGCAGTAGCCAGACTTGACGCCGGCAGGGTTGAAAGGCACCACTTTTTCCGTTTTGTTTCTCGAGAAGCCCATGTACTCCTCCAACGGCCTAGAAACCTCTCCGGCAACCTCAACGGCGACATCTATTCAAAAAGTATAGTTTTTTTCCCCACCTGTCAGTGTAAATTAATTCAACTTACTGCTCAGGCAGCCGGTGTAATTGTTGTACACGAGTCTGTCACTTTGAATGTCGTCGTTGGTGCTGAATCCGCCCAAGTAGACTTCAGTCGACGGAATCGAGCGCTTCGAAATTGCGGCATCTTCGTAATCGTCGTCCCCACTGCTTGACTCCGACTGCGCCAGTTTTTGCAGTTTTCGGTCAACCAGAAGAGTCACTTTGCCATCTTCACTTCGCGCGTACAAAACTGAGTGTCTGGATCCATCAGAAAAACCGGTACCTGTATCAAATTTAATTATTTTTAGTTTTAAAACTTTTTCAAGTAAAATTTTACATTAATTATGATTCCAAGTTAATTTATTTTGATGGTGTTCTGGATCAATATTTCTTTATACAAATAACTTTTCCAGATTGTTACTTGTATATCAGATTATGTTTTCATATATGACATTTAGATCTCATTGAAATTTCTGTTCAAAAATATATAAAAAGCAAATTGTGAAGTAAAAAAATTTCAGACAGTAATAATATTGGTCACATTTATTCTAATTTGGTGGTGACTTGAATCTGCTTGATTAAATTGTAAATTGCAACTCGATCTAAATCCAAATGTTAACGTTTATGACATTTTTCTCACCCAAATCAGCTTTCCAGTTGCTTCCGTTGCTCTTCTGGTCCTCGATTTCCAATTTTCCCCTCTCGTCCAATGCTGCCAAGAAGTACGAGTCCTCCAAATTATTTTTCAGGAAAAGAATCACGGAATTGGTCTCGTAAGTTGAGAACGCAAATTGCACTTTCAAAGATCTGCAGAAAATTCAAAATTGGCAAAAATTTCAACACAAAACATTAATTTAATACTTTTCTGGGCTTTGATCTCCGAGCATCATTTTCAAATAAGAGTGTCCCGAAAAGTGGGCACCTTTTTCTTCGGCGCAGGTTGGACCTGTGTAAGAAGTGTGGGTGCAGTCGCAAATGGCCTCGCTCTTGGAGAAGTCTTCAGTACAGAAACCTTGGTTCAAACAAGGCTCCTCATCACATTTCATGTTGCAACCATCCACAATCTGTTTAAAGAATATATAACACAATAATTCAGTTAACTAGTATATTATATCTAAGCATTTTAATTTTCATATTTTATGTTATTTTTTTAAATTTCAATACAAATTTAACGTATTTAAGTAAATAATAATTGTTTTTAAATGTTAAATACATATTTTCTTAATTGATTTTAAATTTCTTATGGCTTCTGTCAAAGCATATTAATTACAATTTGTAGTCAACATATTATAAGTTAATATGCTTATGTTCCGCACGCAATGCAAATTTCAGGATTTTGGTCATAGGGATTAGGAATAAGAATATTTAATTAAATAATTAATTAATAATAAATTATTCTCTTAGATTAAGAAAAGCCCTTATCATCTTATTAGAAGTTTGAGGTTCAGATTTCAGTTAATTGCAAAGAAAATTATTTACTAATTAAAATAAAACTAGAAAAACGCTCACCATTTCCGGCTTTTCCCTCGTTCCTGACTTCAGCAGGTTCAGGTAGTCGACCTCGCCCACCCTGAAGCCTCGCAAGCACCCCACAAATCCGGGCACAGGGTTGACCTGTGACCTGAAATCGATGGGGTCGAAACCGCCGAGCGACAGGGCAAAGTATCCAGTTGGCGGCGCCAAAGGTCGCTGCGGGACCAGCGTCTCCAGCTCAGGGTTGATCCAGGGCTGGTTGGTGTAGTTGCTGAGGATCTGCAGAGGCGCCACCACCGAGTCCGTAGCCTCCTCGACGTGCAGGGTGGTCGAGCCGTCGCCCCTGATGATGGCGATTTGCACCGGCTGACCCCGGCTGAGACCTTCGTGGCGCGCCCTGAGCACCTCGATCTTGTTGCCTGAGTTGAAGGAGAAGACCACCAGGTCGTTGTCCAGCTGCAGCTTGATGAAGTTGTTCCAGTGGTCGTAGGCGTGCAGAATGAGGGCGCGCTTTTGGTGGGTGCGGATGTTGATCAGGATGTTTTCGGACAAAACCTTCCGCAGTTTTTCCAGCAGGGCGGCGTTGGAGGCCAGCGTGACCGACTTGATGAACGCGTCTTCCGAACGGAAGGTCAGACCTTCCTGGTTGATATCTGCAAGGTGGAGCTAGTGAGAAAGGGTTCGGCAGGAGGTCAAAAGCGATGGCAGAGAGATGGAAAAGAGCGCGCCAATTATACTAGCACTTTTTTTACGCTATTGATTTTCTTGTGAAGAGCAGATGAGAGAGCTGAAGGGGTATATATGTGAATGGTTAACTATTGTCTAGAGGGCTCAAAAGTACCTTCTTCTTCAACAATGAGGGCAGTCCCATTGTCTGCATTTTGATGTAAGGACAGTAAATAAATTAGTATGTGGATCAAGATAACGTTTGAATGGCGCTTTTTCAATAATTTTTCCTAACTCTTTTCACTTCAGCTCCTTACCAAATACATATTTAAAGTTGAAGTTGTTTCTGCCCACAAAAAAGCTGATTTACAGCCATGGTTTCATGGTGCATAATGAAATTAACTATAATTTAAATTATAATTCCATGATCATGCTCTTCTACTATCTATAAAAAAAATTACCATGCGATTATCTTTTTTAACATCTAATACAATTTTAAATCAAATTAACGTAATTTTCAGTCAAAGCGCTACAAAAATATTCTAAAATAAATTGCAAAAATATTCTATCACTATTTACGTAAATCATTCAACAGTGAACAACTGATGTTTATTCACTTATCTGGTTGATTTCACTGCGCGTGCTGATCTCTGACTTTGAGAGAACACCAAGTTTGTGTGCAAAATTTCACCCTTTTTTATATCAAGTTTTTGCTCTTGAATTATTATTATTTAATTTTACCAAATTATAGGTTAAATTCACGTCCAAAAATAAAGCTTTAAGAAGCCTTTTTTTATTAAACTAGTGCTTCCAGCTTGCCCAGCATGAGAGAGAAAAATAGTATAATGTGTTAAAAGTGTATGCGTGTGTGTTCGACGTACCTTGTTCGCAGTGGTCACCCAAGTGAGCCCACGGGTTCTGACACTGACACACATAAGTACTCCAACCCTCCTTACACAACGCACCATTCTGGCACGGGTTGGGGTCGCAGCTGGGTTTGCAGTCTTTGATGATTGCGGAGAGGTGCACCGAGATGTAAGCGTAGATGTCGAGGATCTCGCCGTTCACCACCAGCCCTCGGAAGCACCCCACCAGACCGTCCTTCACTTCAGACTCGTTTATAAGCTCACTGCAGAAAAATGACAAACATTTTTTTTACAGAGATGAAACAGATTTACTGCAACCTGCGGCACACGAAAGCCGACCAGGTTGCATAACTTCAAAGTAATTTTTTTTTTTACGCTTTGTTTTTGTAATAAGCTTAAACAGTTTTTTCCTGGGCTCAATTGTATATACATTTAGCATAGCTAACAGAAATTTTTGAAGAAAATAAAGGGATTTTAAGCAATTTTAAAATCATTTTTTCTTGAGACAAAGTAATTTCAACTTTTAATAAAATTATATCAGTTCTTATTTTTTATTTAATAAAATAGCAAAATTTCAACTTACTCAGGAACTCCTCCGACAAACATGGACCCTCTGAAAGGTCCAAACCGCTCTCCCGGTTTCAAATCCACCATCTCGACCCTGGTGTTGATCATGAACCTGACGTGATGCTCGTTGTAATCAATCCAAATCTTCTGCCAATCTCCTCCATTCAACTTCCTATCAGACATGATTTTCATCTCCCTTTCGGAACCACCGCCGAGAGTGAATTTAAACAAGAGCTCATTTTCTAAAATAAAAAATGTTTTTAAATTTAAACTACTTATGCAATTAAATTTCGCACCATTGGCTAAAATGACGGTGAAGGCAGGATGGTTGGCCCTGATTGGAGGCTGGTGCAGAAGAATGGCTCTTTCTCCAGTTGTTCTGAAGCTGAAGGCCAAATCGCCCGAACGCCATCCAGGCACCTCAATGTATGACTGGGTCGAGGTAAAAGTGACGACATATTTTTGGGTGTCTGTAATCAAAATAAAATTAACAATTATAAAAAAGTTGTGTTAAAAATTATGTTAATTTAAGAAGATTATATTAAATATATCCCAATTTTTAAATTTATTTTTAAGTTTGAACATACTAGCTTCAACACATTCCAAGGGTCCTAAGGTGATTCGTCCCTGACCATCAGCATCTAGATTGGCCTGCTGCATGAAGAACATTTCTGTCACGCCCAGACTTTTTGGAGACGTAAAAACTCCTTCGTCCGAAAGCCACTTTGCGTCATTAGAGTTGGAATCGCAATTGCAATCAGTCTGCGGTCCGCCAACGCAAGTGTTATTTTCTGTGGAAAAACAAAATTTATAAAAATGAATTTAATTATTAGAATTTCTGTACCTTTGCAGGGGCAAACTCCCGGCGACACGTTTCCGAGGTAATCAATAATTTCCGTTTTGTCCGAAGACTTGAACCAGGTCGCCGTGTGCAGTTCAAGGGGCGCCTAAAGTTAAACACCGCCTCAATTAATAATTCACGCTTGGGCAGAGCTCCATTGTGTTACCTTGTAGCAGTCGTACTTAATCGTCTGTGTGCAGTACAATGAGTGAGAAATCAGCTCTTGCAGCATCTCGGGCGTGAATTCTCTGTATTTGATTTCGTACTTGAAGTTTCCAAACTGACGACCCCTCACATCCTTTAAATAAGAATTATTTTATTTTATTATTTTCATATTCTTTCCCAAATCGGGATCCATTTCAGAGTTTTCATTTAATTTGAGTTTAATAAAAATTAAAACTTTAATTCATTTTTGTAATTATTTTTAATTTTAATTTTTTTTTTTACAAAAAATGTACTCACAACTTGGCTGGGAAGGTTGTGCTCGATGATAGTCTTGGTTTCGTCCTCTTTGAACTCGCATTTGACGTGAGCTGGTGGGAAAATTCCATTTCCGTCAATGTCAATCAAGTAAACGTCGGGTTTTGTGTAGCCCAACAACGCCAACTCCTCACAAGTTCTCCTGAACTCGGCTAAATTTTGAAAAGTTAGTTCAAAAAATTGATCTTTTTAATAAAATTACCAAAGTGGCAATTTTTGCCGGTGTATCCGGTGTCTTTGCAGTCACAGGTGACCTTATCGTTGGTCACGGCGCATCGACCGCCGTGCTTGCACGCGTCAGGCCGGGAGCAGGGGTCAACGAGCTGGCAGTTGTCCAGGGAAACTTGTCCCGTGGCTCTGTCACTGCGAACCAGAGACCTCGGCTCCAAATGCACTCCGTCCACCCAAATTTCTCTCAAACATCCAACCAGACCTATTTTGGTCAAAATTAATTAGATTAAAAGTGCATAAAAAAATTATTCTAGAAAATGACATACTTTATTTATAAAATAAGATTTTTAAAGAAAACGTGGGAAAATTTGCACATATAAATTGTGATTTCATATTAAGTTTCACTTTAGGTTTTAGGTAAGAGAAAACAAAATAATATAAAAGCAGAGGACTCTTCGACAAGTCATTTAAAGAATGGTAATAAAGAAGGTACAATTTTCATTTTAATGAATCAAATTCATACAAATAATATTTTTTGCTTTAATTTACATCATGATCTTTAATTTATTATTTTCAAAACCAGAAATCTATACTAAAGACTAAATTATTAGCATTACTTAAAAATGATTGATGCTATGGAAAAATTTATCAAAACAATTAAAATTTAACTTATGTAGGAGAAAATTCTTCTCCTCCTACGTAAGTTAAATCTCATTTAAATAATATGGCTTTATTAAAAAACAAATAAGTTAAATGTCAAATTAAATATTTCAAACATAAAATAAAATCATTAAAATAGGTATTTATTTGTATAAATAAGTAAATTTATATATTGAAATAAAAATTAATAATAAAATTGATAATTTTGTACCAGTGTTTCTTCTGTTGCTGCTGGCCAGCATGACCTTGTTGTCAAACTCGACCACTCCGATCTCCTGTTTGCGCGTGAATTTGTAATCCACGTCCAAGTTGAGCAGGCCGTCCCTGTACGTGATCTCGACCCGGTGCCAAGCACCCCTGGGGTCGAACGTGACCCCCACCACTTGGGTCTCGTTCTCGCCGGAAGAAAGAGGCACCAGTTCGAAGCGCACCTCCTCGTTCACCACTCTCAGCTGCAAAGCGATACAATCTTTAATTAATCTGGCCGGCGAAATCAAAACTTGCCTCCCAGTAGCCCGGGCTCGGGGCCGACACGTTGCCCGAGGCCAACACGGCCATGCCTTTGCTCGACTTGTAGTAAAAGTGCAGGTTGAGGTGGTGTTTGCTGGACAAGTCCCAGATGATGTGCGACGCCGGGAATGGGAACGTCAGCGGCAGGGTTCGCACGTCCTCGTCCTTGTAGTCAGGTTTGAAAATCGACACGTAGTTGGCCCTGGCGCTGCCTTTGGCCAGTTCGTACAGCAAGTTCACGTCGTTAAAATACGCGTATTTCAAACTTCCCACGAAATTGTTCTTCGACCCCGCTGGAAGAAATTTAACAAATAAAAATTAACATTATTAAATTCAGTATAAGAATTTGAATAAAAAATTTAAAATGGGATGAAAAAGACAAAGAAAAGAAAAGTGCGGAAACCAAGGCCTAATTAATTATATATGATTGTAATAATGTTATGCTTTTTCAAAAGAACTTGATTTAAGATCAAAATCAAGCATGATTTCAGCACCAGTGTCAATCAAAAGGTTTTTTTGCAACAACACCTTATCCTATACATTATTTCCTTCAAAACTAATTTTTACAAAAGACAATAAAAATTTGATAGTTTTCTATATGTTATTTAGTTATTAACTTATTAAAACGTAAGATTAATTTTGGAGCGTGTTCAAGAAAAGTATGTACTTTTTCAATACAATCATATTTTAAATTTAAAAAAGGGCAAATGTTTTGCAGTGCAGGTTGCATTTATATGTACCTCTTCTACTTGATGGTCGAGGACCGCCGCCGAGGCAGATTTCAGGGTCTAGATAGAGGTGGTGGTGGTTTCCAGGAACCTCCTCTTCGATCACCTCGTGGTCCAAAATGAATTTGACCTTGGCACCTTTCTGGACCACTGTGACGTTGTGCCAGTGGCCGCGAGTGACCGAATATTTCTCACTCATCACAACCTGCGAGTTTTAATTAGTTCAAATAATTAAAGTATGATTAATTCTTACTTTAATCGGAGAAGATCCCAGATCGAGATCAATTACTACCGAATGATTCTTGATGGAAATTGAAAGGTGGTGGTGCTTGTGCGATTCTCCACTTGCGTAGAACAAGGTTGAGTCGTCAAAGTGAGTCTGAAATAGTTTTAAAAGTTTTATACTTCATTAATTACATTAGGGAACATGTTATATTATTTAAAAGCATAAAAATTGAGATTAAATGCAATCTGCATTACTTTAATTCATAATTAATTTTACTTCTGCAATGCCTACTTAAATGTATTTTGGATTCAATTAGATTTATTAAAAAGTAACAATTTTATTTACAATTATTATTTATTTTTTACTATTTATGAGAAATTTTATTAATTAAATTAGTTTTAATGATATAAGTTTACATGAATTTTTTTAAAGCAACTGCGCAAACAATGCAATTATCTTTTAGATTTCAAAACAAAAGTGTCAAATACAAGTCTATATTTTTATGAAGAATTAAAAAAAATATATATATAATTAAAATGTATTGCTCTTTTGGAGACAAAATAAAAATAGTGAACTAAATTTTAAATTAATATTATTGTATAAATAAAAAAAAAGAATTAAATTTCTGAAAATTCAATATTTTTTATTTCTAAATTTCTCTTTCGTTGATGTAACTAATTTAGTTTTTTATAAGTATATATAAACATGAAAAAAAAGTTTGATTACAAGTATATTAAATTTAAATGATATATTATTGTTTCCAAGTTAAAAATATTACAGTACATTGGGAAAAAAATATTTTGTAATTTGTTCAACACAATTTATTTAAAAGTACCTTAAAAACAACGCTGATCCTGTTCTCGGAAGCGTGCACTCTGTCTTTCCAATCGTAAACTCTGTACGACATGTACGAATATCCCCTCATGGTCAAAACAGTTGCCTCTGAGAATTAATCAATTTATTAGAGCAGAAATTCGCGCGCGCTGCAAAAACACGCCTCTGGGAGAAACAATTGATTTGAATCCCGAGAGAGGATTGACTGGCGTGTGAACGAATCAATAATTCATAAAGCAATTCAAATAGACTGACTATATATGTCGCAGTGCTCGCCCTCGTATGGAGTGCCGAAGCAGTCGCAGGTGTAGTGGCTGTAGTGATTGACGCAGCTGCTGCCTTCGAAGCACAGGTTGTGTTTTGTGCGGCACCTTTAAGGGCAAAATTAAAGAAAACAGACACCCTGCTTAGTGCAATTGTACTTGTCCTGGCAGCCGTGCATCACGTGGTCGTGCTTGTTGGCCACAAGAGGGGTCACCGGCTCCATGTAGGCAGGGTCCTCGCCAGAAATCAGCGAGATGTCTTTGATGCAGCCCACAAATGAGCCGATTATGTACTTCACCCCGTGCAGTCTTTCCTCTGGACTCAAACCTAAATTTCATGAAAGTTCTCATTGAAAAACTCTATAATATTGATTTTTATTAAAAAAAATTGTCAGAATAGGAAACTATTAATTATCCTTACAATTGTATGACTTTATTCTTAATCATGTTAAATATTTGGAAGTTATTATTGCAAAAGGAAAAAAAATCACTGTGAAGTTAAAAGTTTGAATTATGTTGGAATAGTAAAATCTTCACAATGAGCTTTAAATTGAAAAATATGTTTCTTGTGTACTGCTCTGTTTGTTTGTTTTTTAATACATACCAGAGTACTCGGGGAAACCTTATAGAAAAGAAAAAAATCGTAAATAAATATTCTTACAATGTTTTGTTAAAATATATTTCATGCAGTATGATTTAAGTATTTTTCCTCCCCAAATCAATATTAAATCAATACTTTCATTTGCTATTTTTTATATATATATATATTTTTTTTTTTTTAGCAGAAACCCAAGAAATCACGCACCAAAACTAAACAAAATTTGAATATCGATATCTTACCTCCGACGGAGACAACAGACTGCAGGTCTGTGTTGACGCCATAAGCGACGTCTCCGTTTCCGAGGCCAATGATTTCCGTGGTCTCGACTTCGCCGTCTAGGGCGGCCACCAGAACACCTGTCTCCAGGTTAACGCGCACCATCACGGAATGCCATTTGTCTCTGTTCAGTCCTACAAGAGCAACGTTCATTGCTAATTAAGTATCTTCAAAATATTATCCAGCTTTTGCTAATCTTGATAAAAATTGTATTTTGGGGTGGTAAACAAATTTTTCTGATTAAAAGCTCAGAAAATTAACACAAAAATTATGTAGGTAGCTACTTCTTTGTTGCAATTTGCTTTACAAAACATAAAATAGAAATCAATTCAAATTAATGAGGCAATTCTGAGATATTTTAAATTTTATTCTTCTTGATTCGATATTCGATCGATTCGTTATTCGTTTCATTCTTATATATTCTTAAATTTCAATATTAAATTTTTATTAATACATCGTCATGGATCAGCTTCTATTAGCATTATGTAATGGAATTTTCATCAACTATATATTTTTTTCTCTCACATCCCAACATTTATAACATCAATATGTTAGATTTAAAAACAATTTAACATAATTTATAAAATGAATATAGACATAGATAACAGCATAGGCATTGAAATACAAAAATTATTTTTAATAAATTAGAAAAAACATTTAACAATTATAACACGTTTAATAAAAAACTCAAGTTTATTTAATTAAAAAAAAGTAAATTTTTTTTTATAACTGTAATTATTTTATAATACATAATCTGTAAATTTTCATTTTACCTTTTCCCATGGTGAGAGAAGTGGAATTTTCGCCTGTTACGTGCACCACCTTGAGCTGGCCTCTCTCCACCAGCACGTACAAAGCGTAGGGAGGCAAATCCGCCGGCCTGTCTTTCACCCCGTGATAAGCCAAAATACCGTGGGGAAGCTTGGTCCGGAACTTGAGATTCAGTTGCCTCGACAGTCTGACAGCAAAAATCAACATTTTATCGCGCTCTCCATTAATCTTTTCTATTCAAAAAGAGCTCATCCGAATATATAAAAATATAATCACCTTAGCTGAAAGGTGGGGATGTCGTCGATTTGGACGAACGAGTTGGCCCTGGTGAAGGTGAAGGTCCGCTCGCCTGGGGACCCTGGCAGCTCGAGGAAGCCGCCCGCGATCTCCTCGGGGTCCTCCGTGGTGGAGGCGTCGGACGCTGCTTGGTTCGCCACGACATGATCATTGTGCAATTCGGATCGCGTCATATACGGCGGCAATGTGTCTGGTAAAGAGGAAAAAAGGTTGAACTCAAATAATTTGATTTAATTATTTCATATTGTTTTAAAGAAACAAGAAGTTTTAAAATTTTTCAAAATATATTGGGGGAGATTCAATAGACTTAGCTCTCCCGGGATAAAAGATATCCCGGGATAAATCCAAGGGGACAAAATTTAGACCACTGTCTCGGGTTAAATATTTTTAGTCCCGCCTTAAATTTTTTCTCCCCAAGTCAATGGGGGATAACTTTCCTTAGCCCCCTCCACGGGATAAATATTTAATAAAAGGTTAATTAAAAGGTCGTCAACATGCTCGCGAACTTTTTAGATTTTGGCCAATTGCAATGAACAAAAATCTTTTTCAAATCAGAATTTTGTGAGGATCACGGAAATGAGGGCAAAATTGAAATCTAAAGCTAACACAAAAATCTGTATCTAACTTAATTTAAAATTGCTTATTTATTTTGATCAGAAATTTCTAAAGACCTCTTCATCAAAGCGAAATTATACAAGGATTTTTTTCTTTTGAAATTTTGTGCACGTAAAATTTTTCAACCCAAAAAAATTAAAATTTTGAAACTAATTTTTTATTTGTAGATAAATTAAATTCGCTAAATTACAATTAACATATAAAAAAAGGAAAAAATTCCTACAAAACGACTCCAAGTTGAATACAAATTCACTACAAAACGACTACAAACGACTCCAAGTTGACTACAAATTCACTACAAAACGACCACAAACGACTCCAAGTTGACTACAAATTCACTACAAACGACTCCAAGATGACTACAAATTCACTGCAAAACGACTACAAACGACTCCAAGTTGACTACAAATTCACTACAAAACGACTACAAACGACTCCAAGTTGACTACAAATTCACTACAAAACGACTACAAACGACTCAAAGATGAGTACAAATTCACTACAAAACGATTACAAACGACTCCAAGTTGACTACAAATTCACTACAAAACGACTACAAACGACTCCAACTTGACTACAAATTCACTACAAAACGACTACAAACGACTCCAAGTTGACTACAAATTCACTACAAAACGACTACAAACGACTCCAAGTTGACTACAAATTCACTACAAAACGACCACAAACGACTCCAAGTTGACTTCAAATTCACGACAAACGACTCCAAGATGACTACAAAACTACAAAACGACTGCAAGCGACTCCAAGTTGACTACAAATTCACTACAAAACGACCACAAACGACTCCAAGTTGACTTCAAATTCACTACAAACGACTCCAAGATGACTACAAAACTACAAAACGACTGCAAGCGACTCTAAGTTGACTACAAATTCACTACAAACCGACTACAAAACGACTTCAAACGACTCCAAGTTGACTACAAATTCACTACAAAACGACTACAAACGACTCCAAGTTGACTACAAATTCACTACAAAACGACTACAAAACGACTCCATGAATGAATGAATGAATAAATAAATAAATAATTAATAAATAAACATGTTGACGACCTTTTATTTACCAGCTGTTTTGATTTTAGCGCGGGTTAAATATTTATCCCGTTGAGGGGGCTAAGAAAAGACACCCTCCAATGACTTGGGGAGAAAAAATTGAAGGCGGGACAAAAAATATTTAACCCGGGACAGTGGTCTAAATTTTATCACTTTGGATTTATCCCGGGATATCTTTTATCCCGGGAGAGCTAAGTCTATTGAATCTCCCCCATTATGTAAAAAAAGAAACTTGGCTTTTCATTTTTGTATAGTCAAAGAAGAAAACTATTTCAGTTAATAATTAGAAGCCGATGAATACAAAATTTGCAATTAATGGTTCTTTCAGCCATTAAAACTTTTAAGTTTGTTGCATAGAATTTTATTGAAACAATGAATTTAGTGCAAAAGATGAAATTAACATTTCCCGAATTAATAATAACATCAATTTTCTTAAAAATTGCAATTAACGTGTATAACAGAAACTATTGCTTTGGTATTTGTAGCTGATAGAAGCCCTGGCCAACTATTTTGCACTTTTGGTTGTTTTTAAGTTTTAATTTCATTTTCCATAATTCATAAAATTGGTGATTTTAAAGTGAAATTTTATTTTTTTTCCCAGGTTTTTCGGGATACATACAAAAGCTGCAGTTTTTTTGGTTAATTTAGCTGATATTTTCTGTATTTTTTTTCAATTAATTGTTGAAATATTTTGATAATAGGTGATTTCAAAACTTTGATGTATAAAAAAAAAATGTTCTTTTGTTAATACTAGATATTGTGTTATTTCTGTAGGCCCTACATTTTTCCCATTCCTTGAGCCTTTAGTTCGTACTGGGAATTAACCATCTGCTTTAACTTTATAGAGACTAGAACAAAAGGACGAGAGGCCTATTTGCTCTCCTAGCTATAATTCCGAACGCTGCGGATTCTATTTTTTAAGACGACGCACAAAGCGGGTCTTAAAACGGAGGAGCACTTTGAGTGATTATACTGCTCCAGGGCGGAAAAGTGAGCGGAAAAGTCTTACGGTCGCCGGGCAGGCAGTGGTATTCGCATTCGGCCTGCGAGGCGAAGCGGTTGTCGTTGCCTTCGCAGCCGCTGTACTGGAAAACGTCGCACTGCTCCTTCTCCGAGTCGTAATACCACTTGGCGATCCACGTGCTGCAGCTTCCGACCGTTCTCGGCTGATTGCACTTTTCTAAACCTGCCAACAAAGAAAAGGCACAATCACAAAAGAGCGACACGCAAATTTTTTCCCTCGACTACTTTTTTTTCCATACTTATTTGTTGAAATGAGATAAATTTATAGAATTGCGAACCTTCTGTGGAGGATTTGAAAGGGTCTGGCACGACGGCCAAAGGCTCACTCAAACACGGGCTGACGCAGCTCGCCAAAATTAGTAAAGCAGTCGTAAATGTGATTGGAAATAAACTAAAGTAATGCAGTCTGATATCACTGGCGCGTCTCATGGTGCCGGCGGGGTCTCTCCTCAAACTTGGGATGTCATCGCGGGGCGGCCGCCGCTCGTCCCACCCCATCCTTGACAGACACCTGCTGAAACGACACAAAACACACAATGCATGAATAAATATACGTCCAAATAGATAGTATAATGTAACAAGTTCCAAATTCTTAATTAATAAAATTGTGCCCTTTTATCCAGCAAATCTTTTTATTAATAAATAGCTTTCAACAATTTAATGTAAACAACGTGGACAAATGAACTTGATTTTTGCATATGAACTAATGAAAAATTTATAATTTGTTTCTTTATTGTCAGTTTCAGCAAAACTTCAATTTAAATTTTTACAAAAACCCATACAAGTCTCTCTTAATCAATTTTATTTTAAAATAATATTAATCTAAATCGGTAGAGCTAAGAATAAATCTGATGCTCGTTTCAGTTGGTTCAACCAAAACCAATTATTTTGGCCGAAACCAATTTCTGTAAAATTGATAAGAAAAAAGTTGACTATTTGACCATTAAAAACAGACAAAAATGCACAGGCCAAAATATAATATAATTAAATTTTCCTGAAACCTTTTCCTTAACTTTGACGCGTAAAAATTGATGCCTTAATTCACTAAAAATAAACTCTCATGGGCGTGATATCAAGTGGCAGTGGGCGAAAAATTCCCCGAGAAAAGGAAACTCATCTGTTATTATAAGGAGCTCGCTCTCGGGCGCATTGTGCCCTTTATCAAATGACGCGGCCCGCGAGATTAGAAACCACATCACGCGTACATATGAGTGTGCATGCGAGACGGAGGAAAATACAAAAAGCAGATTCCTCACCACGCCTGCTGGCATTATCTTCATACCTGTGCCCCCCGCGCTATGCTTCATAAATTCTAATCCCCGCGCCGAGTCAACACAATAGGCCCAGATTAAGGAAACGCAGGGAGCTATTTTTTATTCCCGCCGCCGCCGCTACATTAAATTTGTCATCGTTTAAGGCGTTTCGGAATTACCATTCCGAAGAGGAGCAGCGCTTTTTATAAACTATAATAAGAATAGCCCCTTCCTGCAGCACACCTGTCCCGTCGTGGACGGCGAGAATTTTTATTGGGTGCCGCGGCAGCTCTTTTCGCCGGTGTGCGCGCGGAATGTTAAAAGTATTTAATTATTTTGTAACCGCGGCCAATTATTGTCGCTGATTAGGTGCTTGATTTAGTGCCAGAAAGTTCCTTCCTTTTGGCGCTTGAAGGGACAAGGTCGTCTGAGCAGTGGAATTAAAGAAAGCGACCGCGTGTAATTTCGGATTTGATGGCAAAACAAGCGAGTGGCCTTATTGACCTATTTAGCACCGCAACTTGAGTTTAATCCGGCAAATTGCATGAAAGGTTATTTGTTTATTGAGATTTATTCGAGAGCAAACGCAGAGATCAAATCGATTGATTAAGCTGCAAGTAGGTTAATCAACTGATGCAGATAATCCCTATTAATCAATCTGAACTCATAATAACTGTTTATAAAATATTTTACGCAGAGGTTTAATTAATGTGTCTCAGTAAATAAATAAAAAGTATAAACATAGTGTTTTTTTCATGTGTTTATTATAAAAAGTTGTTTACAATTGAATAATTAATTTTTTAATATTATACTTATTTTTAATAAGCTTTACAAGGAACATTTTTACGCTCTCACTTGTTCTAACAAGGGAACATTTTTAGGTGCCTAACTGCGATTTTGATCAAATATGGAATGTCGATAAGGATTCTCTAGTAGAGTCCAGAATTAAATTATTGGCTGCTGAAATGCATTTTTCACCCCTACAGAAGGGTTTGAGTTTGCCATTAAAATAGATAATAAATAATATCATCATCTATTTTAATGTCAAACTTATCCTTCTGTAGGGGTGAAAAAACCACATTGTGGTACCAAATTTGAGATAATAAATAATTTGATCATCTACTTTAAAGGCAAACTCAAACTCACTGTGGTACCACACTGTGGTACCACAATTTTCTACCACACTGTGGTACCACAATTTTCTACCACACTGTGGTACCACAATTTTCTACCACACTGTGGTACCACAATTTTCTACCACACTGTGGTACCACAATTTGCTACCACACTGTGGTACCACAATTTGCTACCACACTGTGGTACCACAATTTGCTACCACACTGTGGTACCACAATTTTCTACCACACTGTGGTACCACAATTTGCTACCACACTGTGGTACCAAAATTTGTTACCACAATTTCGTAACAAATTTGAGATAATAAATGATTTGATCATCTACTCTAAAGGCAAACTCAAACTCACTGTGGTACCACAATTTGGTACCACACTGTGGTACCACAATTTGCTACCACACTGTGGTACCACAATTTTCTACCACACTGTGGTACCACAATTTTCTACCACACTGTAGTACCACAATTTGCTACCACACTGTGGTACCACAATTTGCTACCACACTGTGGCACCAAAATTTGCTACCACACTGTGGCACCAAAATTTGTTACCACAATTTCGTACCAAATTAGAGATAATAAATAATTTGATCAAGGAAAACTCAAACTTCTGTGATACCACAATTTGCTACCACACTGTGGTACCACAATTTGCTACCACACTGTGGTTCCACAATTTGCTACCACACTGTGGTTTCACAATTTGCTACCACACTGTGGTACCACAATTTGCTACCACACTGTGGTACCACAATTTGCTACCACACTGTGGTACCACAATTTGCTACTACACTGTGGTACCAAAATTTGTTACCACAATTTTGTACCAAATTAGAGATAATAAATCATCATCTATTTTAATGGCAAACTTCAAACCTTCTTTCGGGGGTGAAAAATGCATTTCAGTAGCTAATAATTTAATTCTGGACTCTACTTCAGGATCCTAATTGACATGCCAAATTTGATCAAATCCGCAGTCAGGCACCTAAAAATGTTCCCTTGAAAGACGCAAGAAAATAAAATTTTAATTACATCTCATGGTTTAAAATATGTATATAATAACATCATTTTGCATCTAAACCTATTCTGTTTTCATTAAAATAATTCCTCCTGCGGTTCCTAAAATGTTCAAATATAATTTCAAATCATCATTGTTATTCTGTCTTCTGTTTCAAAAATCAACATATTAATTAAAGGACGTCCATTCGTAGAAAATAGTTGGTGTCATGTCTGATATTTTTCATTTAAGCGGCAGTATCTCTCCTTTCAGCTGTGTGCCTTTCAAAGAGAACCATATATTCAGCCGCTAATTAGCGCCACATGGTGTTGACTGATAATTTATGCGTCCACTCTTCATCTCGCTGTGGCATAACCGCCGAAGATTCGTGCGCCCCTTTTTGAAAGGCAATTCGAGATGCTGCGCTCGATGTGCGGCAAGTGAGCAGCTTAGCTACCATAGTAATTCAATCCGCCCAAAAAACACTTTATTGAAGAATTGATTTATCACTCAGGGGAAATTAAAACATAAAATCCTGCACGTAATTTCCAGTTCGAATCTCAAATCGGAAGTGAGCTATTTTAGCCTCAATCTCAAGCCACCTGGTTTCAATCTCTTTTCATTTTGTCATAACGTTCTCGGATTTCAATGAGCCTCTTTCGCCGGCATGCATTCTTAAAATTATTCACCCCCGGAGCAGCAGGGACCCACTTTGAAGTCGAGAGATGAGCTCCGAGTAAGCAAACAAACATGCACCCCCGTGCGGTGCTCATCACCTCACTTAATTTCGAGCACATCTCAACAATATGTTCTGCGTCACCCTCCCAACTTGAGCACGAAAAAACAAGGGAGAGCGTTTGGTTTTGGACGATTTAATTTTCTAACGGTGTAACCAAAGCCCCGAACCCGTTTCCCTTTTTCGGATTTGCGGCGTTACAAAGAGACCAAGGGCAAAAGGTGAGAGACTTATTTCATCCCTCTTTTTAAAATAAAAAAATCCTCCTCCCGATCTGAGAGATGATTTATCTGCCGGGAGAACAGCAGGCAACCGATATCTCATTTTTCCATCAGCCTTTTAATTATTCTGGTGAAATGAGCTTCGTGAGAAATCTCCACTTGTTAATTTTTCTCCATGCGTGAGCATTGACCATTCGTCTCTTTGTTTGTATTTGGAACATGCGAGAAAGTACACTTGTGGAATAATTTAATCGTTGATTCTTTGGTTATATCTATGCAGGGGATCAGATTGCTAATTGACTTATTGAAAGCTCCTTAGAGACGATCAATCTACCTGCTAGGAAATCGTAATCAGCTCTTCAGGGACAAATACATTAAAATTAACTTTTAACTTCAAACTACAATTCAAATAATATCATTTAAATTTATAACAATAACAAATTATTAGACCATTTTTGAGATAATAAATGCATAAAGTTTTAACTTTTTGTGGTTTTGTGATAGTCAAATTATAATGTAATAATTAGAAAAAGGACAATATGGGTGTGTTTGAATTATATTTTATAGATTGTTCAATTGTGGTTGGGTTGCTGAAAATAGAACCTCTCCCTACCAATAAAATCTTTTATAAACCGTTAAAATTATTGAAACACACTGCATGATAAGAAGTAAAAAATACAAACAAATAAAATTAACTTTTATTAAAAAAAAATAATTCTTTATTGTGGTTAAACCTTGACTAAAATAAGATGTTATATTTAAACATTTAATAACTAAAAAAAATTATTAACTAATTAACTTTTTCCTTCAGTTTTTTAACTCAGAGAAGATGTAATTATTAAGCCGTATTCTTTCTGAGGTAAAGTTTTTGTGAATATTTATACAAGGATAGTAAAAGGATAGTGGTAGACACTCTAGCGTGCTCGGCGTGCGGAAAGCATAATTTAATTATTATCCTCTGCTTATCTCGCGTGGTTAGATTGCATGAGCAAATAGTTGCACATAGAATTACTCTCGCCGTGCACGGATGATAACAAGAAGGCAAACACTTCTCTGCTTTTCGGCAGCGACGAAAAAAGGACCCTGCTTTCAGCTTTTGTGTAGTCTAGCGGGTGACGCACTTTTCAAATTATCACGCGCTCGCTGCTGCCTTATGCGTGAGTTTCGCATAT